ACGGCATCAAACAAGGTTGGCGTGATGCAAGTGGTTCTATGAGCAAGATGATAGTGGAAAAGAAGATTCTACCTGTTTTGAATAACACACTTGGATGTGAGAAAACTTATAAACACTATGGAAGTAAAAATAGGAATTTGAAAAATCGCTATAATAGCATGCAAGAACTGATCCGGTTTAGTTCTGGGTTTGGGTGGGATCCTATATCTAAAGAGTTATGAAAAGGCAACTCTTTTTTTTTTTAAATTTTAGTATAAATTTATAGATCAAAACTATTTAAAATTTATGATATGTTATATTTATAGGTACATCTAACTAGAAAAAATATGCGTGATGAAACATTTGAAGATTACGAGGATTTATAGCTGATATACAACACTGGATTTGCGACGGGAAAAAATGATGTTGGCTTAGGAGATGATACTGATGCACAAACTTTTGGATCTGAAGATAATTCACCATGTGAATTATGTACAAGGCTTTTTGGAAATGCTGGAAATGTGGATGGATCTCAAGCATCAGGGTCTTGGGATTCACCTATGCCACAAAGCAAAGAGGGTCCATTAGGAAAGCTACCTCCTAAAAAAAGAGCTAAAGGTGGAGAACGTGGAGGCTCTAGTAATTCAAGCATTGATGGTAGCCGTATGGAGACGACTTTTAATGAAATGGTTGTTATAAGCAATCAAGTTGTTAGCTTGAGAAGAAAGACAACAAAGAGAAGCTAACTTTAGAGAAGCTGAGAAAAGAAAGAATAATATATGGGAGGCGATCGAAGAAGTTCCTGACTTGGAGGAAAATATTCGTTTTGATACATTGAATGAGATTCATAGGTTAGGGATGAAAGACGTCGAAGATATCAAAGAGTTAGCTAGTTATTTTGATTTAATTGTTTCTTTAATTTGTACTACGTATTCTTAATGTTGTAGGTGATGATCTAGCCAAACAAATCCTTTCGGTTTTTGACAATGTTGTACCAAAGTTATTCGATTAATTGAAACTATGTTTGTAACAACAAAAAAAAAGAAACAAAATCTCCCAAAACGGTTAGACGGAAAAAATCATATCCAAATGGAAGAATCCTAATCGCATCCTAATTTTTGTTTTTGTCTTAATTAACTTGTATATAAAATTAGGCTTTCTTGAATACGAAAAATGAATACGACAAAAAAATAAGATAAATGAATTATTGTGTAGTTTGAGAAAGAAAAGAAAATTTAAGCGCATCAACAGAAAAAACAAGCTTTAACTTTGATTTGGTGGCGCTTCTTGTCACATATATTCACATGCGGAAGAGAGAAGCCTTTATTCAATAATCAATAAATGTGGTTCCACAAGCAAAGCACTATTATTTTTCAAGTTTTTATTGCAAATATCTATAAATTTGCGTAAATCAAGATATGTAGGACCAAAAAGTAGCACTTCAATTCAACAATTTCATACCACACATTGAAATAAAAGAATTTTTAAGATTACAGCCAGATTCGAGTTTATCAAGCCATTGACATTTTAGTTCTTATAATCCACTGACTCTCCAGTTATGTAGGCAAATTATTATCAATCGACCTGATAATCTTGGAACTTTGTGAGCTAAAGTTGGTTAGAACTTTGGGTTAAGTTTTAACCCAAAAAAAAACACTTTAGGTTAGAAAATCAAGTGTCTCATCTCGGTTAGCTGTG